CACGCCCCCCGCGCCCGATTGGCCGCCGCGCCGCCCCGCGGGTTCTGATTGGGCAGCGCCCGCCGCGGCCCCGCCCACGCGCGGCGCTGATTGGTCACCGCCCACCCCGCTGCGGAACCGCGGCCACGCCCACCTGTCAGGAGAGGCCACGCCCAGCGCTGCGGAGGCCACGCCCACTCGGGGGTCGCGGGCGCTGATTGGGCGAGAGGGGAGGAGGCCACGCCCCCCTGGGGACATTGCGGGGTCACCGGGGGGTCACGGACAGGGCGGGGCCGGGGGGACACGGGGGGGACACCGAGGGTGGCCCCGATGGCCCCGCCCCCTGCGGCCATCGCTGCCCAGCCCTGGGTGGCTCCTGTCCCTCTGTCCCTGTCCCTTCTGTCCCTGTCCCCCTGTCCCTGTCCCTCTGTCCCCGTCCCCCTGTCCCTGTCCCTCTGTCCCTCCTGTCCCCCTGTCCCTGTCCCTCTGTCCCTTCTGTCCCTCTGTCCCTGTCCCTCTGTCCCCGTCCCCACCCCGCTGTGACAAAGGGGACAGCAGGGCCATGGGGACACCGGGACAGCTGAGCTGCTGGCACCGGGGACAGCGCTGGGGACACGGGGACACGGGGGACATGTCCCAGTGACACGGTGACCTCATTGTCACGGTGACCTCGGTGACACAGGGACCTTGGTGACACAGGGACCTCAATGCCATGTCCCAGTGACACGGTGAACTTGAGGACATGGTGACCTCGGTGACACAGGGACCTCAGTGCCATGTCCCAGTGACACGGTGACCTCATTGTCACTGTGACCTCGGTGACACAGGGACCTTGGTGACACAGGGACCTCAATGCCATGTCCCAGTGACACGGTGAACTTGAGGACATGGTGACCTCGGTGACACAGGGACCTCAGTGCCATGTCCCAGTGACACGGTGACCTCATTGTCACGGTGACCTCGGTGACACAGGGACCTTGGTGACACAGGGACCTCAATGCCATGTCCCAGTGACACGGTGAACTTGAGGACATGGTGACCTCGGTGACACAGGGACCTCAGTGCCATGTCCCAGTGACACGGTGACCTCATTGTCACGGTGACCTCGGTGACACAGGGACCTTGGTGACACAGGGACCTCAATGCCATGTCCCAGTGACACGGTGAACTTGAGGACATGGTGACCTCGGTGACACAGGGACCTCAGTGCCATGTCCCAGTGACACGGTGACCTCATTGTCACGGTGACCTCGGTGACACAGGGACCTTGGTGACACAGGGACCTCAATGCCATGTCCCAGTGACACGGTGAACTTGAGGACATGGTGACCTCGGTGACACAGGGACCTCAGTACGCCCCCCGCGCCCGATTGGCCGCCGCGCCGCCCCGCGGGTTCTGATTGGGCAGCGCCCGCCGCGGCCCCGCCCACGCGCGGCGCTGATTGGTCACCGCCCACCCCGCTGCGGAACCGCGGCCACGCCCACCTGTCAGGAGAGGCCACGCCCAGCGCTGCAGAGGCCACGCCCACTCGGGGGTCGCTGGCGCTGATTGGGCGAGAGGGGAGGAGGCCACGCCCCCCCTGGGGACATTGCGGGGTCACCGGGGGGTCACGGACAGGGCGGGGCCGGGGGGACACGGGGGGGACACCGAGGGTGGCCCCGATGGCCCCGCCCCCTGCGGCCATCGCTGCCCAGCCCTGGGTGGCTCCTGTCCCTCTGTCCCTGTCCCTTCTGTCCCTGTCCCCCTGTCCCTGTCCCTCTGTCCCCGTCCCCCTGTCCCTGTCCCTCTGTCCCTCCTGTCCCCCTGTCCCTGTCCCTCTGTCCCTTCTGCCCCTCTGTCCCTAGGCCACGCCCAGCGCTGCGGAGGCCACGCCCACTCGGGGGTCGCGGGCGCTGATTGGGCGAGAGGGGAGGAGGCCACGCCCCCCTGGGGACATTGCGGGGTCACCGGGGGGTCACGGACAGGGCGGGGCCGGGGGGACACGGGGGGGACACCGAGGGTGGCCCCGATGGCCCCGCCCCCTGCGGCCATCGCTGCCCAGCCCTGGGTGGCCCCTGTCCCTGTCCCTTCTGTCCCTTCTGTCCCTCTGTCCCTGTCCCTGTCCCCACCCCCCTGTGACAAAGGGGACAGCAGGGCCATGGGGACACCACCCCGCTGTGACAAAGGGGACAGCAGGGCCATGGGGACACCGGGACAGCTGAGCTGCTGGCACCGGGGACAGCGCTGGGGACACGGGGACACGGGGGACATGTCCCAGTGACACGGGGACCTCATTGTCACGGTGACCTCGGTGACACAGGGACCTTGGTGACACAGGGACCTCAATGCCATGTCCCAGTGACACGGTGAACTTGAGGACATGGTGACCTCGGTGACACAGGGACCTCAGTGCCATGTCCCAGTGACACGGTGAACTTGAGGACATGGTGACATCGGGGACACAGGGACTTCAGTGCCATGTCCCAGTGACAGTGACCTCATTGTCACGGTGACCTTGGTGACACAGGGAGCTCAGCCCCAGTGACACGGGGACCTCGGGGACACAGGGACCTTGGTGCCACGTGTCCCAGTGACACGGGGACCTTGGGGACACAGGGACCTTGGGGACACAGTGCCATGTCCCAGGTTCATGGTGACATCGGGGACACGGTGCCATGTCCCAGTGACACAGTGACCTCATTGTCACGGTGACTTGGGGACACGGTGACCCCGGTGCCACATCCCAGTGGCACGGTGACCTTGGGGACACGGGGACCTCAGTGCCACGTGTCCCAGTGGCACAGTGACCCTGGGGACACGGTGACCTTGGGGACACGGTGACCCCAGTGCCACGTCCCAGTGGCACGGTGACCTTGGGGACACAGGGACCTTGGTGCCACGTGTCCCAGTGGCACGGTGACCTTGGTGCCATGTCCCAGTGGCACAGTGACCTTGGGGACACGGTGACCTTGGGGACACGGTGACTCGGTGCCACCAGGCGGAGCCGCAGCGTTCGGTGGGGACGCCACCTTTTATTTACAAAACAAGGGGACAGGGAGGGGACAGCGTGGGGACAGGGACGGGGACAGTGACAGTGCCACCACACTGTCCCCAACACCCGGCCCGTGGCCCCGGGTGACAGCGGGGGTGACACACCCTGATCCAGGGTGGCACCAGCGCCCGGCGGGGTGGCAGAGGGAGGGGACAGGGAGGGGACAGGGAGGGGACAGGTTGGGGACAGGCTGGGGACAGGCTGGGGACAGGCTGGGGACAGGGAGGGGACAGGCTGGGGACACTGGTGACATCTAAAACTTGAACTCCTTGTACTTCTTGCCCCCGCCGCGGGCGTCCTGGGGCTGCGCCTTCCGCTTCTTCTGCTGCGGGGACAGGGGACAGTGAGGGGACAGTGAGGGACACGGGGGACATGGGGGACACAGGGGACAGTGAGGGGACACGGGGGACAGGGGGGACAGTGAGGACAGGGAGGGGACAGGGAGGGGACAGGCTGGGGACAGGCTGGGGACACTGGTGACATCTAGAACTTGAACTCCTTGTACTTCTTGCCCCCCCCGCGGGCGTCCTGGGGCTGCGCCTTCCGCTTCTTCTGCTGCGGGGACAGGGGACAGTGAGGGGACACAGGGGACAGGGAGGGGACAGTGTCATCAAGGGTCAGGGGACACAGGGGGCGACCGAGGGGACAGGAAGGGGACAGAGAGGTCACAGTAAGGACTTGGGGACAGGGCCAGGAACTCCTTGTGCTTCATGCCACCCCCACGGGGCCACCCTGAGGGGACAGGGAGGGGACAGGGGGATCATGGGGACGTGTGGGGACAAGGAGGGGACAGGGAGGGGACAAGGGGGTCCCAGGGACAGGGAGGGGACAGGGACATCCCACGACAGGAACCCCTCGAGCTTCATCCCATCCTTACGGGGCTGCACTGAGGGGACAAGGAGGGGACAGAAGGGACATGGAGGACACAGAGGGGACACAGAGGGGACACAGGGGACACAGAGGGGACAGAGGGGACACAGGGGACAGGGGTGGCAGCTGCACCTTCTGCTTGGCGGCGTGCTCGGCCACCATGTCGCTGAAGTCCTCCTTCTCCACCTGCGCCTGCTGCTCGCGCACGTGCTCCTCGTACTTCTGCGTCATGGCCGTGGGGTCCAGCTCCAGCTCCTCGGGGGCCAGCGCCACCTCCACGCCCTGCGCCTCTGCCACCGGGCCCTTGCGGCCCATCACCTGTGGGGACATCGGGGACATTGGGGACAGTGTCACTGTCACACCCTGCGCCTCTGCCACCGGGCCCTTGCGGCCCATCACCTGTGGGGGGGACATTGGGGACATTGGGGACATTGGGGACAGGGCCACCTCCACGCCCTGCGCCTCTGCCACCGGGCCCTTGCGGCCCATCACCTGTGGGGACATTGGGGACATTGGGGACAGCGCCACCTCCACGCCCTGCGCCTCTGCCACCGGGCCCTTGCGGCCCATCACCTGTGGGGACATTGGGGACATTGGGGACAGTGTCACTGTCACACCCTGAACCTCTGTGACAGGGCCCATCACCTGTGGGGACACCATGGGGACATTGGGGACATTGGGGACATTGGGGACACTGTCACTGTCACCCCCTGGGCCTCTGTGTCCAGCCCCCTGTGTCCCATCACCTGTGGGGACATTGGGGACACCATGGGGACACGGGTGACACCGACCCCGTGCTTTGTGGGGTCCCAGGGCTGTTTTGGGGGGGGTCCCAGGGCTGTATTGGGGGGGGTCTCACCGCGGACATGTCGTAGATGTGGGTGGAGCCCATCATGGCCGTGCCCACGGTCGCCGTGCGCTTCTCGGGGACCACCGTGAACAGCTGGGGGGTCTCGCTCCTTTGTGGGGGGGTCACGATGGGTGGGGGGGCTCCTGATCACCCCAAACCCCCCCCTACACCCTGACCCTCCCAAACTCCAAATCCCCAAGCCCCCCTTGATTCCCCTAAAACTCCTTTGAGCCCCCCAAACCCCCCAAAAACTTCCCCAAAACCCCAAACATCCTAAAATTTACCCCTGAACCCCAAACTCCCTCAGTCCCCAAACCCCCCTGAGCCACCCAAAATTTCCCAAACCTCCCAAAACCCCCTGGCCCCATAAAATTCCCCCCTGAATCCCAAACTCCCCCATCCCCTAACACCCCTCAGACCCCCAAACGCTTCCCCCAAAGCCCCCTAATCAGGGGGCACCCAGGGGGCAGGGGCACCCCCAAACTTCTGGGCTGCCCCCCAAACCTGTGGGGTGCCCCCCAAACCTGTGGGGTGCCCCCCCAGTTTGCCTCGGAGGGGGCTGAACCAACCCCGCTCCCCACCCCAAAGAAAACCCCACAGGATCCCCCTTTATGGGGGGATTTGGGGGTTCCAATCAGTTTTTGGGGTTCCCCTGAGTGCTGGGGGGGGTCCCCCTGAATTTTTGGGGTGCCCCCCAGCTGTCCATGGGGGGGTGAACCCCACTCCTGACCCCAAATCCACCCCAGGGGAGTTCGCTCCTTTATGGGGAGATTTTGGGGGGGTTTAGGGGACGCCTGGAAGGTTTTTTGGGGTGCCCCTGATGTTTTTGGGGTGCCCCTGATGTTTTCGGGGTGCCCACCTGTCGGCAGGGGTGATGAAGCCGGTCTCATCCGGTTTTTCTTCGTCGCTCTCCTCCTCCTCCTCCTCCTCCGAGGATTCCTCGTCCGAGGGCTCCAGCTCCCCCCAGGGCGTGCGGTCGATCTCCTCCTCCTCCTCCTTGGTCTGGGGGGGCCCGGGGGGGTCACTCGGGGATTTGGGGGGTCCCAGGGGGTTTGGGGGGGTCCCAGGGGGGATTTTGGGGTTTTTTTGGAGATTTTTGGGGGTCCAGGGGGTTTGGGGGGTCGGGCAGGGAGATTTTGGGGTTTTTTGTGGGATTTTTGGGGTGATTTGATGCTTGGAAAGGGGATTTGGCTGTGGGGTTATGGAGACCCCAAAATTGGGGTTGAAACGAGAGATTTGGGGGGATTGGGGGTTCCCCAAATTGCTCAAGGAATTTTGGGGAGGGGGCGTCCAGGGGAAATCCGGGGTATGTGTGGGGGGGGTCATTCTGGGGGATTTTGGGTCTGGAGAGGTCCCCAAATCCCTCAGGGGATGCTGGGAGTGGGGCACAGACGTTGTAGGATTTCTGCTCCTAAATTTGGGGTTCCCCAATTGCTGCGGGGTTTGGGGGGGTCCTGGGTGGGCTGGGGGGGTCCAGCAGGGTGTGAGGGGGTCCGGCAGGATTTGGGGGGGTCCCGGGGGGCTTTGGGGGGTCCCTGTCACCTGGAACTCGGCGGCGTTGGTGCCGAACACGTCCCCGTAGAGCGGCTTCCCCGTCTCGTCCACGGGCGGCTTCCCCCAGCCCCCGGCGTGGTACCCGAAGGAGCAGCCCTGCCCAGGGGACCCCAAAATCAGCCTGAACCCCAAAATCATCCTGAGCCACCCCCCAAAATCATCCTGAGCCCCCCCAAGTCATCCTGAACCCCAAATTATCCTGACACCCACCCTGGGCTTCCCCCAGCCCCCGGCGTGGTACCCGAAAGAACAGCCCTGGCCCGGGGACCCCAAAATCAGCCTGGCACCCCTAAATTATCCTGAGCCACCCCCCAAAATCATCCTGACCTACCCCAAGTCATCCTGAGCCCCCCCAAATCCTCCTGACACCCCTGGGCTTCCCCCAGCCCCCGGCGTGGTACCCGAAGGAACAGCCCTGCCCAGGGGACCCCAAAATCAGCCTGAGACCCCAAAATCATCCTGAGCCACACCCCAAAATCATCCTGAGACCCCAAATTATCCTGAGCCCCCCCTCAAATTCATCCTGAAATCCTAAAATCATCCTGACACCCACCCTGGGCTTCCCCCAGCCCCCGGCGTGGTACCCGAAAGAACAGCCCTGTGCAGGGGACCCCAAAATCATCCTGCACCCCAAAATCATCCTGACCTACCCCCCAAAATCATCCTGAGCCCCCCCAAATTATTCTGAGCCACCCCCCAAAATCATCCTGAAACCCTAAAATCATCCTGGCACCCCAAAATCATCCCAAAACTCCCAAATCGTCCTGAGCCACCCAAAAAATTACCTTGACTCCCCCAAATCTTCCTGACCCCCCTCCAAATGCCCCCGAATCCCCCCACCCAGGACCCCAAAAACCCCCAAATCCCCTCCTAAAAACACGCAAACATCCCCACCCTCCAGCACCAAAAAAACCCAAAATCCCCCAACCCAGGACCCCAAAACACCCCCCAAAAAACCCCAAAAACCTCCCAAAAATCCCCAAACCCTCTAAATCCTCCCCAAAAAACCCCAACCCCCCCAAATACCCGAACACCTCCACCCTCCAGCACCAAAAAACCCCAAAATCCCTCCACCCACGACCTCAAAACACCCACAAAAAAACCCCAAAAACAAACAAACAAACAAACAAAAAACCCAAAAAACCCCAAAACCCTCTAAATCCTCCCAAAAAACCCCAACCCTCCCAAAAACACGCAAACACCCCCACCCTCCAGCACCAAAAAAAACCAAAATCCCCTAACCCAGGACCCCAAAACCTCCCCAAAAAAACCCCCCAAACCCCAAAAAAACCCAAAAAAACCCCCCAAAAAACCCAAAACCCCCCAAAAACCCCAAACCCGTGCTCACCTCGGGGATGGGGGAGTTGAGCCCCGGGATTTTGAGGTTGGGGTACGAGGGGGGGGGTCCGTAGCGCTGCATGGCGATCAGCCACGGGGGGGGCACCTTGTGGGCGTTCTGGGGGGGCACAGAGGGGGGGTCAGCACCCCTAAAACCCCCCGGGACCCCAAAAACCCCAAATCCGCCCCAGCACCCCGAAATGGCACCGCAGGCAAAGCCACAGCGGGGACTGGGGGGGGTCAAAGGAAGGGGTGACCCCCCCCAGACAGGGAATGGAACATTCCAGGGGGGCACAGAGATTTGGGGTGGATTTGGGGTGGATTTGGGGTGGATTTGGGGTTTGGGATGGATTTGGGGTTTGGGGTGGATTTGGGGTTTGGGATGGATTTGAGGGGTTTCAAGGTGGTTTTAGGCAGTTTTGGGGTGCCCCATACCGCCCCCAGGGATTTGGGGTGGATTTGGGGTGGATTTGGGGGGGGTTTAAGGCGTTTTTGGGGTGGTTTTGGGGTGCCCCATACCGGCCCCACAGGGATGCCCAGGGATTTGGGGTGGATTTGGGGTTTGGGGTGGATTTGGGGAGGTTTAAGGCGTTTTTGGGGTGGTTTTGGGCAGTTTTGGGGTGCCCCATACCAGCTCCACAGGGATGCCCAGGGATTTGGGGTTTGGGATGGATTTGGGATAATTTTAGGATGGTTTTGGGGTGATATTGGGGTGCCCTCACCGGCCCCACAGGGATGCCCAGGGATTTGGGATGGATTTGGGGTTTGGGGTGGTTTTGGGGTGGATTTGGGATAATTTTAGGATGGTTTTGGGGTGATTTTGGGGTGCCCTCACTGGCCCCACGGGCATGCCCAGGGATTTGGGGTGGTTTTGGGATGGTTTTAGGGTAGTTTTGGGATGGTTTTGGGTGCCCTCACCGGCCCCACAGGGATGCCCAGGGATTTAGGATTTGGGGCGGATTTAGGATAGTTTTGGGGTGATTTTGGGGTGGTTTTGGGTTCCCTCACCGGCCCCACGGGCATGCCCAGGGATTTGGGGTTTGGTGTGATTTTGGGATGGTTTTAGGGTAGTTTTGGGATGGTTTTGGGTTCCCTCACCGGCCCCACGGGCATGCCCAGGGATTTGGGCTGGTTTTGGGATGGTTTTAGGGTGATTTTGGGGTGGTTTTAGGGTGGTTTTGGGTTCCCTCACCGGCCCCACGGGCATGCCCAGGGATTTAGGATTTGGGGTGGATTTAGGGTGATTTTGGGGTGGTTTTAGGTTGCCTCACCGGCCCCACGGGCATGCCCAGGGATTTAGGAATTGGGGTGGATTTAGGGTGATTTTGGGGGGGTTTTAGGTTGCCTCACCGGCCCCACGGGCATGCCCCGGGATTTAGGATTTGGGGTGGATTTAGGGTGACTTTGGGGTGGTTTTAGGTTGCCTCACCGGCCCCACGGGCATGCCCCGGGATTTAGGATTTGGGGTGGATTTAGGGTGATTTTGGGGTGGTTTTAGGGTGGTTTTGGGTGCCCTCACCGGCCCCACGGGCATGCCCAGCGCGATCCGCAGCTCGTCCGAGAGATCTCCCGGCTTCTTCTCCTTGAGCCGCGTCTCAAACTCCTTCCCCTGGGGACACGGGGACACCAAGGATGTCACGGAAGCCCCAAACGTGCCACAGGGATGTCCCCAAAGCCACCAATGCCACCCCCAGGATGTCCCCAAACCCCTAAATGTCCCCAAACCCCAAAATGTTCAACCAGGACGTCCCCAAACCACCCAAAATCCAACCACAACGACCCCAAATATCCCCCAGGATGTCCTCAAACCTCCAAAATCCAACCAGGACGTCTCCAAATCCCCAAAACTCCAACCAGGATGTCCCCAAAGAGGGGACAGCGGGGTCACCAAGGGGACACGGAGTCACCCAGGGGTCACCCAGGGGACACAGCAAGGTCACAGGGTGGTGACAGCCCCAAAAACCCAACCAGGATGTCCCCAAACCCCCAAAAATCCAACCAGGATGACCCCAAAGTGTCAAAACCCAACCAGGATGTCCCCAAAATCCAACCAGGACACCTCCAAATCCCCAAAACTCCAACCAAGACGTCCCCAAATGTCCCCCCAGGTGTCCCCAAACCCCAAAACTCCAACCAGGATGTCCCCAAAACCCAACCAGGACATCTCCAAATCCCCAAAAATCCAACCAGGATGTCCCCAAATGTCCCCCCAGGTGTACCCAAACCCCAGAACTCCAACCAAGATGTCCCCAAATGTCCCCCCAGGTGTCCCCAAACCCCAAAACTCCAACCAGGATGTCCCCAAGTGTCCCCCAGGAGAACCCTAAAGCCCCAGATGTCCAACCAGGATGTCCCCAAAAACCCAACCAGGATGTCCCCAAACCCCCAAAAACCCAACCAGGATGTCCCCAAATCCCCAGATGTCCAACCAGGATGTTCCCAGACTCTCCAAAACCCAACCAGGACACCTCCAAATCCCCAAAAACCCAACCAAGAGGTCCCCAAATGTCCCCCCAGGTGTCCCCAAACCCCAGAACTCCAACCAGGATGTCCCCAAATGTCCCCCAGGTGTCCCCAAACCCCAGAACACCAACCAGGATGTCCCCAAATCCCCAGATGTCCAACCAGGATGTTCCCAGACTCTCCAAAACCCAACCAGGACACCTCCAAATCCCCAAAAACCCAACCAAGAGGTCCCCAAATGTCCCCCCAGGTGTCCCCAAACCCCAGAACTCCAACCAGGATGTCCCCAAATGTCCCCCAGGTGTCCCCACCTCGTAGTAGAGGTCCCCGTGGATGGTCAGCTTGGGCTTGGTCTGCCACTTGAAGAAGGCGTCGTGCAGCTTCTGGTAGTCGATGTCGATCTTGCCCATCTTGGGCCGCACCTTCTCCCTCATCTTGGACTTCATCGTCTTCTGCTCCTCCTGGGGACAGCGCAGGGGACGCTGGGGACACGCCCGGGGCCGCGGGGACACGGGGTGGCCCCGGGAGCCTCGGGGGAAGCGACGGCGGCCACCAAGGGACAGAGGTGTGACCACCATGGCCACAAGGTGACAGAATCCAACCAGGGTGTCCCCAAACCTCCAAAATCCAACCAGGGTGTCCCCAAATCCAACCAGGGTGTCCCCAAACCTCCAAAATCCAACCAGGGCGTCCCCAAATCCAACCAGGATGTCTCCAAATGTCCAAAATCCTCCCATCCCCCTCAATGCCCCACAGCTGCCCCTCAGGCACTCCCCGAGGTGTTCCCAGGCTGTCCCCAAGCTGTCCCCACCTTCTCCTGCAGGGCCTCGCGCATCTCCTGGATGCCTGTGACCACCAAGAACCTCCACAAACCCTCGAGACCCCTCCCCAAACCCCATCCCATGCTCACAGCTGCCCCTCAGGCATTCCTGGAGCTGTCCCAGGCTGTCCCTGAGGTGTCCCCAGGCTGTCCCCAGACTGTCCCCACCTTCTCCTGCAGGGCCTCGTGCATCTCCTGGATCCCTGTGAACCTCCAGAACCTCCCCAAACCCCCGAGACCCCTCCCCAAACCCCATCCCATCCTCACAGCTGCCCCTCAGGCATTCCCCGAGGTGTCCCTGACATGTCCCCGAGGTGTCCCCAGGCTGTCCCCATGGTGTCCCCGCGGTGTCCCCACCTTCTCCTGCAGGGCCTCGCGCATCTCCTGGATGCCTGTGACCACCAAGAACCTCCACAACCCCTCGAGACCCCTCCCCAAATTCCTGGAGCTGTCCCAGGCTGTCCCTGAGGTGTCCCCAGGCTGTCCCCAGACTGTCCCCACCTTCTCCTGCAGGGCCTCGCGCATCTCCTGGATACCAGAACCTCCCCAAACTTCCGAGACCCCTCCCCAAACCCCATCCCATCCTCACAGCTGCCCCTCAGGCATTCCCCGAGGTGTCCCTGACATGTCCCCGAGGTGTCCCCAGGCTGTCCCCATGGTGTCCCCGCGGTGTCCCCACCTTCTCCTGCAGGGCCTCGCGCATCTCCTGGATGCCGGTGCGCTTGATGAACTCGGGCAGCTCGAAGGGCGGCTTCTCGATGCCCCTCTTGCCCTGCAGGTATTTCCTCTTGAAGCACCAGTGCCGCGGCACCGGCACCGAGTTCCGCGTGGCCTTCAGGTGCACCAGCAGCTTGGGGTCCTGCGCCGTCACATCGTGCATCTCCACCACGTCCGGGCGGGCCACCAGCTGTGGGGACAGCGGGGACACCAAGGGACATCAGGGGACAGCAGGGGACAGCAGGAGACAGCAGGGGAGTTAGCAGGGAGAGCCCCAGGGTGACGCTGTGGGACCCCAAGTGACCTCTGGGTGGTCACACTGTGCATCTCCACCACGTCCGGGCGGGCCACCAGCTGTGGGGACAGCGGGGACACCAAGGGACATCAGGGGATGGCAGAAGAGTTAAGGGGGAAGAGCCACAAGGTGACACAGTGGGACACAAAGTGACCTCTGGGTCATGACATCGTGCATCTCCACCATGTCAAGGTGAGCCACCAGCTGTGGGGACAGCGGGGACAGCAAAGGGACATCAGGGGACATCAGGGGAGTTGGCAGGGAGAGCCCCAGGGTGACACAGTGGGACGCAAAGTGACCCTGGGTGGTCACACTGTCCCTCTCCACCAAGCCAAAGTGTGCCACCAGCTGGGGACAGCAGGGGACAAAAGACAGTGACAGGGGCAGAACCCCAGAATGGTGCTGGGGACCCCAAAGTGACCCTGGGTGGGGACACAGGACACCAGGGTGGCACTGGTGGGGTGACAAGAAGATTGAGGGCCCAAGGTGACCCCTGGGTGGGCAACTGGGAGCTGAGTGTGACACCAGTGTCCCCAGGGAGGTGACAAGGGGCACACTGCACAGCCCAGGGTGGCTCTGCTGTCCCCACCGGGGCTCCCAGGGGACAGGAGGTGTCACCTCAGGGCTGTCCCCAGCTCCGAGTGCCACCCACACCCACGGGGGAGGGGACAGGGCCGTGTCCCCCAGTGTCACCTGCTTCAGCTCGGCCACCGTGAACCTGTTCATGCGCCGCAGCTTCTTCTTGGACAGCTTGGGGACCTCCTGCTTCTTCTCCTGGGGACACGCGGGGACAGCGCAAGTGACACGGGAGGGACGCCCCGGGTGGCACCCGATGGCACCGCCCGCTGTCCCCATCCCTGAGCCCTCCCTGTCCCCTCTGTCCCACCTCAGGGACTGTCCCCTCCTTCCCAGTCCCTGCTGTCACCACCCCCAGCGTCCCCAAACACCCCCGTGTTGTCCCCAACTCGGTACCAGCTCCAGGTGCCACCTCCTGCCACCCTCAATGTCACCCCACTGTCCCCTTAATGTCCCCAGTGCCACCTGCTCATCCTTGGAGCTGTCCCCATCGCTGCCCCTATCTCCAATGTCCCCAGTGTCCCCGTGTCACCTGCTCGTCCTCGGAGCTGTCCCCGTGTCCCCAGTGTCCCCCTGTCACCTGCTCATCCTCAGAGCTGTCCCCAGTGTCCCCCTGTCCCACTGCCCCTTTCTCCAATGTCCCCCTGTCCCCGTGTCACCTGCTCATCCTCGGAGCTGTCCCCATGTCCCCAGTGTCCCCCTGTCACCTGCTCATCCTCAGAGCTGTCCCCAGTGTCCCCCTGTCCCCGTGTCACCTGCTCGTCCTCGGAGCTGTCCCCCTGTCCCCACTGCCCCTGGTGCCATCCTCGGGTCCCTTTTTCCGCGGCACTCCGGCGCTCTCGGCTCGCTCCGCCCGCTCCGGCTCCTTCTCCTTGTCCTTCTTCACCTCGTCCGTCAGCTGGGACGGGGACAGGGACAGGGGACAGGGACACACAGGGGACAGGGACACGGGTCAGGGACACACAGGGGACAGGGACACACAAGGGACAGGAACAGGGGTCAGGAACACACAGGGGACAGGGACACACAGGGGACAGGGACACACAGGGGACAGGGACACACAGGGGACAGGGACAGGGGACAGGGACGCACAGGGGACAGGCACAGGGACACCCAGGGGACAAGGACACCCAGGGGACAGGGACAGGGGTCAGGGACACACAGGGGACAGGGAGAGGAGAAATGGGTCAGGGACACCCAGGGGACAGGGACACCGGTCAGGGACACCCAGGGGACAGGGACAAGGGTCAGGGACACACAGGGGACATGGGACATCCAGGGGACAGGGACACCCAGGGGACAGGGGAAACCAGTCAGGGACACGGACAGGGAGAGAGAACAGGGGACACGGGTCAGCAGCACCCAGGGGTGACACTGGAGTGACCCTTGGCACCCAGGAATGACCCCTGACCACCCGGGGGTGACCCTGGCACCCAAGAATGACCCCTGACCACCCAGGGGTGACCCTGGCACCCAAGAATGACCCCTGACCACCCAGGGGTAACCCTGGCACCCAGGAATGACCCCTGACCACCCAGGGGTGACCCTGACCACCCAGGAATGACCCCTCAGCATCCAGGGGTGACCCCTGACCACCCAGGGGTGACCCTGGCACCCAAAGGTGCCCCCACCCCCCGAGTGTCACCTTGAAGGCCTCGAAGATCCCCAGGAATGACCCCTGACCACCCAGGGGTGACCCTGACCACCCAGGAATGACCCCTCAGCATCCAGGGGTGACCCCTGACCACCCAGGGGTGACTCTTGGCATCCAGCAGTGACCCTGGCACCCAGCAATGACCCCTGACCACCCAGGGGTGACCCTGGCACCCAAAGGTGCCCCCACCCCCCGAGTGTCACCTTGAAGGCCTCGAAGATCCTCTTGAAGAAGACGAAGTTGGGGTCGTAGATCTCGGGCTCCTCGCTCACGTACTCGATCTCCACCTCGGGGGCGTCCCCGGGGGGGGGCTCGGGGTCCCCCCGGGGGGGGGTCGGGGTTGGGGCCCCCTCCCGGGCCCCGCCCCTCCCCCGCTTCTTCTTCTTGCGGTTCCGGCGCTTCCGGTTCCGCTGGGAGGGGACAGGAGGGGACAAAAGGGACAGTGAGGGGACAGCACAATAAAACAGGTTCCTCTAACTGGGGGGGACAAAAGGGACAGTGAGGGGACAGCACAGTGGGACAAGCTCTTCTAACTGGGGTGACAAAAGGGACAGTGAGGGGACAGTGAGGTGAGACAAGTGCCTCTAACTGTGGGGGACAAACGGGGACAAAAAGATACAGGTCCCTCTAAATGGGGGGGACAAAAGGGACAGTGAGGGGACAGCGAGGTGGGACAAGCTCCTCTAAATGGGGGGGACAAAAGGGGACAAAAAGTGGACAGGGAGGGGACAGTGAGGTGGGACAGATTCCTCTGAACAGGGGGACAAAAAGGGACAGTGAGGGGACAGCACAGTGGGACAAGCTCCTCTAACTGGGGTGACAAAAGGGGACAGTGAGGGGACAGCAAGGTGGGACAGGTCCCTCTAAATATGGGGACAAAAGGGGACAAAAAGGGACAGTGGCGGGACAGTAAAGTGGGACAGGTCCCTTAGGGGGACAAGGGGGGACCCCCAATGGGATGGCAGAAACCACTTTGGGTGTCACCCCCCCTCTGGGTGTCACCTCCCTCTGGGTGTCACCCCCCTCTGGGTGTCACCCCCACCTCTGGGTGTCACCTCCCTCAGGGTGTCACCCCCCTCAGGGTGTCACCTCCCTCTGGGTGTCACCTCACTTTGGGTGTCACTCCCCTCTGGGTGTCACCCCCCTCTGGGTGTCACCCCCACCTCTGGGTGTCACCCCCCCCTCTGGGTGTCACCTCCCTCTGGGTGTCACTCCCACCCCTGGATGTCACCTCCCACTGGGTGTCACCCCCACCTCTGGGTGTCACCTCCCACCTCTGGGTGTCACCCCCACCTCTGGGTGTCACCCCCCTCTGGGTGTCACCCCCACCCCTGGGTGTCACCCCCACCCCTGGGTGTCACCCCCACCTCGGGGTGTCACCTCCCCCTTTGTGTCACCCTCATCCCTCAGAGCACCCATCCTGGTTTTTAGGAGAATTTTGTGGAAGTTTTTGGAGGGTGGGTGGCACCCAGTGGTACCGGGGGGGACACTGGGTGACACTGGGGGGGTGACACCACCCTGAGGTGTCCCTGGCTGCACCCACAGGTGACAAACTCGATTTTTTGTGTGTAACTTTCCATTTCTCAGATGCAAATTCCCATTTTTGGGCAGGTTTTGATGCTTTAAAGGCGTTTCCTGTGATGGGGGGCACCCAGAGGGGACCGGGGACACTGGGGGTGGCACTGGGGTGGCAGGGGACACCGGGGGTGGCAGGGGACACTGGGG